GGGGGAAATAGATAGACAGACTTGTACAAGCTTGTCGACATCACTTGACACAACACGGAGTCTGGCCGAGCCAGGGGGGAAATAGATAGACAGACTTGTACAAGCTTGTCGACATCACTTGGCGCAACACGGAGTCTGGGCGAGCGAGGGGGGTGGGGTGGGGGGGGGGGAAATAGATATACAGACTTGTACAAGCTTGTCGACATCACATTGTGTACGATATCATGTGATTTATTGGCGCTTTGGTAAGAATTTTACGGTACTCGCAACGAAAACAGGTCAAATCAGTGCCAAAGAAATGACATGTTACGACGACTACTACAACTATGAGTTCTAAATCGAGAGATTTTCATAATTTACAATGTTCCATGCGCTTTACAATGCCGGACTCGTAATCGTGATGTTGCGGGTTCGGGGGTTCGAGCCTCAGCTCGGCCCGACGTTGTGTCCTTGGGAAAGACACTTTACACGAACTTCCCACTTGGCTCGGTCCTTTCGGAGATGGACGTTAATCTGGAAGGTCCCGCTTCTTAAATTACCCAATAAGAGAAAAGATAAGATAAAACTTTATTATCTCAGAGGGAAATTTTTCTTCCCTGTGCAGGACCGTAAAAACACATGCAGGTAAACATATACAATTTAAATTGTATTTTTCTCTCTTTAAAATTCAATATGAAAAGAGAAGAAAAGCTGACAAAATGCACGTTCACATCAGACGCATCATTCAACCACAAGCAGGAACTTAAGTACAAGACTTTTGGAGTTATATATAGATACATACTCTAAAGACCAACACACATCTATGCTCATTTTGACAAAAGCCTTATGCTAGATGGTAAAAAACTTCTTTTATATCTTTCTGTCTAAGTTTTTGGTGTGGGTTTTTTTTTTGGGGGGGGGCTTACAATTTGCGTGGAAAGGGGGCAGGGTGGGTCGTTTATAATGCTTTTTATCTTGTTTATACTTGTGATGTTATACATTTCATTAATTCTAGTAAAATCGTATCCAGAGATCTTGCTGGCTTTTTTAATGGTTCTGTCAAATTTTTCTCTATCTTTCACCTTACAATTTCCACCCAGCAGCAAACACGAGAATGGCATCCTCCACGCCCCTCTTGGCGCGATAGACAAATTGTATGTTGTCCTGTGTGTCTTCTGTTGATTTCCTCAGTTCTTTCAGAACCAGTTTTTCCAAACATTTCGTAAGGACTGATGTTAAAGCCACAGATCTTTGGTCGTTCTAATTTTGTATTGATTGTTTCTTTGGGACAGGAATTATTGCAGAGCATTTCCTCCAGAGTGGTATTATTTGTTCTTTCAGACATTTATTGAAAATATCAGTAGAAATGGGATTTAAGAGTAGAACACATTTTAATAATTATACTTTTTATCTCCATCGGGTTCATTCGCTTTGTGTAGTAAAAAGAAAATTTATCTTTTAAAATTGTTCTACTCAGTTATCTCCCATTCATAATGATATTTTCATAATGTCTTTGAAAGACCGATAGTGTTGATTGAAGCGTTAAAACCATACCCGTTCACAATTTCTCCATGTGTTTTATTAAACATAAATTTAATAGCTTTATAATGGCTTAAAGATACACTTAGCGTTCACTCTCATTGTTTCAGTAGAGGTTTTACGGCGCTTGCAACTGCATAAGGTCATATGAGCGCCTTCCGTTCACTCACAAGAGCACATAAAATGACACCAATATGTACATGAATGTATAGGTGCGTGAATACTGGAAGATAGACAGGAACACATGTGTAGAGAAACAATTCATGTACATAGTTTTAGAAATGTGGATAAGATCAAATACGGTAAACAGACTCAAGAAATAAAAGATAATAAGTTACGACTTATGCAGAGCATTGACTTTGTTACTGTTACTTAAATCTTGACCTATGACGTCACCTCGGTCAAGAAGTGTACCTGGAGTAGAAGCTTGTGGTCACTTCTGTGAATGTTGTGACCGCTAACTTTGCTATTTATCTTTGGTGTGTTTGTTTCTAGTGTTGCTGTGTGCAATGAGCCTGGTGTCTGTTTTGTTTTAGAATTGAACTTCAGTTGATGTTTGTTCCACCACAGCACAGCTAGATGTTTTGTGTACCCTGGCTTGTTACGTTAGTCTGTGTGTTGATGTCGTCAATGTTGCCGGCAGTATACATGTGTGTACCCTGGCTTGTTACGTTAGTCTGTGTGTTGATGTCGTCAGTGTTGCCGGCAGTATACATGTGTGTACCCTGGCTTGTTACGTTAGTCTGTGTGTTGATGTCGTCAATGTTGCCGGCAATATACAAGTGTGTACCCTGGCTTGTTACGTTAGTCTGTGTGTTGATGTCGTCAGTGTTGCCGGCAGTATACATGTGTGTACCCTGGCTTGTTACGTTAGTCTGTGTGTTGATGTCGTCAATGTTGCCGGCAATATACAAGTGTGTACCCTGGCTTGTTACGTTAGTCTGTGTGTTGATGTCGTCAGTGTTGCCGGCAATATACATGTGTGTACCCTGGCTTGTTACCTTAGTCTGTGTGTTGATGTTGCCGGCAGTATACATGTGTGTGTCATCAACACAGAGATGGTAGTTCATTTTGTATTTTTTTAAAGAATGTTAACAAGACGTTGTGCATAAAGTGGGACAATAACAGGCCCAAGTTCTGATCCCTGGGGAACACCACATTTAAGAGGCATATAGGTGTACTTACACGTACATACATACATACATACATACATACATACATACATACAAACATACAAACATACATACATACATACATACATACATACATACATACATACATACATACATACATATATATGTATGTGTGTGTATATCTGGAAGCAACTATAGATATGCAAAAATTATCGAATTATTAACCTGACAGGCCTGATAAGCCATGCAAGCAAAGTGATGCTGAAAGTTCTAGAGAACCGATGGAGAGCTCAGGCAGAAGTAACAATTGGTAAAGAACAAGCCGGGGTCAGACATGGAAGAAGTACAATAGAACAAATATGATTCAACCTCAGAGTCCTGTGTGAGAAATACTGTCAACACCTACAAGACATCTTCCATGTGTTCTTTGATTTCAAAACGGCCTTTGATCGCGTATGGCATGGCGTGTTATGGGCAGAAATGAAGAACTACAACATAGGCCTAAAGCTGACAGAGTTGATCCAACAGCTATACAACATGGTACAAAAGCTGACAGAGTTGATCCAACAGCTATACAACATGGTACAAAAGCTGACAGAGTTGATCCAACAGCTATACAACATGGTACAAAAGCTGACAGAGTTGATCCAACAGCTATACAACAT